TAATGATCTCTAATCATACAACATGAGAGATACACAGATGAACTATTAGTAAGGCTGTATGCATTTATTTTTAAAATTATGCAAATATATACACAACCTAGTTGCAGCATTCAGGGCTAGTTGCTAATTAGACCCAAAGCACAGGCACCACAATAGAAAATGCTAGGATTGATTAAATAAACTTTATGCTGTTATGAACTGAGAAGTTAAAGAACACAGCATAAATCACGGTCACGTAAGATTAACCTTTGATGTTGGGACAGTTATCACAGATTGAAAATTAAAAGCTGTTTGAGCAATATGAGAGCACAGTTTCACATCTGGAATCTGTTTTCAAAAGTAAGGAACTAATATGTCTGAGCTATTAATAAACCTTGCATTGGTAATAGGAGTCATTCCTATTGGATGCCCTGACCTCCTAGTGAAAATTGTTGCCTGGCCATTACATAGACTGGATTGTGTTTAAATTATCAATAAGAAAAACCTGTCTTAAGGTCAAGACAGTATTGGTGTCTGCTATGGGTTGTCCTCAGTATGTTACTTAGAATATGGAAGGGCTAATGTCCCTTTTTACTATGGCTTTTGTTTCTGGTATCCTGAATTTAGCTTTAGCCAACAAAGATAATGGACTTTGCTTCCTTCTGTCTCCTGGAACAATAATAATATAATGGATGGCTATGTGTTCTGGACCATAGCCCCCAAACCCCAGATACACATGGGTATATAGTCTCTGACCAAGATTATCAAGATGAGGATCCCCAAATTAAGCTCCAAATCTATATTTGGGCATGCAAGTAAGTGACTTGATTTTAAAAAAAAATTGGTGCCCCCAGTAACTCCCACTGAGCTCAGCAGGTTTTAAAGTCCAACTGGAGGTTCCAATTTTTTTTAAAGATCCTTCCCCCACTCCCAACAGCTAAAGCAGATAGACTTCAGAGTGAAAACTGATTTTCTGCTGTGCATAGGTAGTATTAATATATTGTGGCTGGTTTGAAAAGGCTCTGCTGGGGAAAATCAGTTAAAGAAGTATCACAAAATTCCTAGAAGTAGCAGCAGCCTATTATGCCAGCCCCATGGCTCTAGGCTTCTGTATAAGTGCTGGGCCATCTTGCATGAGCATGTTGGATTAGAAAACCCTGACAACTCTTACGCCCCAGACATTTTAGATTTACAAAATGTTTGCAGCCCAAGAATATACCAGCTATGTCTGCACTGGCCCTGGGGTAGCAGAGCCCAGGTGCAGCTGTAACTCATACCAGCTGCTTATAGTCCCCAAGGATAGCCAGCTAGGAATATCATTATTAATCAAAGGTTGGAATAAATAAATGCCGAACCAGTTTTTCTGAAATGTTCCCATGCTACCTCAGACATATATAATGCTTTAGATGAAATACAGAGAATCTATAATCTTAAAAGAAAAAAAAAGAGCAGGATGCCTTCAAAGAGAAAATGACAAATTAGGCAATGTCTGGAAGACATTGTTCCAATGGGAGTGTTTCTTAAGTAAGGACTGTGGATCAGACTCATTGAGGTCACTGTATAGTTCAGACATATGTAATAAAATAGAGGATGTGTATGTGGAAAATTTGGAGACCATTATAGCCGGAAGAGGTCAGGTACAAGCACTATGAGCATGATATATTCTCCAATGAACTTTCAACTTACTTGCCTCTTGTAATACAAACTGCTAGCACACAATAATTCTGTCCTGGGTTTGTTTCCTGAGACATATGATTAAAGAAAATTTACACTAAAAAGAAAATCCTAACTCCCATTATTACAAAGCTCATGTTTTATTTTTTCTTTATTTTGATTTATACAGTTCAGAAAATCTGTAGGGCACTTTATAAAATACATTCAAAGATGTGGTCCCTATCAAAAATATCTTCCAATATAATCTGAGTTGTCACTTAATGAGTATTAGGTAAAACCAGTCAGAGACATGGGGTAGGACACACAAGGAGTACAGAAATATGATCACATAGCTCCTGTACATATATATATTTTAGTGTATCTGGAATCTTGAAGATTCCATTTTTTTCACTTCAGGTGTATACCAAGTGTATGTGATATATTTCTTTCCATTTGAATGAATGGATGTGTAACTTTCCATATGAAATATTAGCCAAGAGAAATTAGGGAAGAGATACTGTGAATTCAAAACACAGGCCCACAAACAACACATGTATTTTGTGTTTTTTTATACTTACACATACTATGGTCTCTAGCACCTCATTAACCACTGGAGCCTATGTCTAGGGCAGAGCTTTCCAAACTGTGTGCCGCAACACATTAGTGTGTCGGCAGCAGTGTGTAGGTGTGTCACGCGAAATGCAGAAAATTTTGCGGAAGGGCACCGCGGAGCTCCCTTACTCGCGTCTGCTTCCCTTGGCCCCTCCCCCGGAACTGAATTACTGTGTCGCGAAATGATGCATGTCTAAAAAGTGTGTCACCAACATGAAAAGTTTGGAAAGCTCTGTTCTAGGGGGTTTTCCCCTCATTTACACACATATGCATCCATACAAATCAATATTGCAATTACATTTTCATCATTAGCTGTATCATCCGCTAAACAGATGTACTGAAATTGGCAAAGACCAGGTCCTTAAAATTATTTAGGCCCTGGCATATGTTACACTTAGGATGCGATTAACCAGTTAATCACATCCTTAACCAGTTAATCACATCTTAAGTTGTAACAGCCACATGTTAATGCAATTAATGATGTGATAAACAGGGAATAAGACAAGGAATAATACACAAAAAAAAGGTATAAGAACTTTTACGGGTTCCTATCACCATTAATTAAACTTGTAGCTAGGTGTGGTCCAATGACTGGGAGTTATTGGCCACAGGAACTCGCCGCTTGCTGGTGCAGGGGGAACCCAGGACCATGATTCTGGGCTCCCCCTGTACTGGCAATAAGGTGCAATAGGATCTGATGTTGGATCCCACAGTCATGCCTCCCTGTGCCATGTGCCATGGCAGGAAACACAATTGTGGGGATCCTGCCTCAGATTCCATCACACCTTCACTTACACATCTGCCAAGGGCCTTAGACATGATACTCCCATTGATTTCAGTACAACTCTAGAAGGAGACTGAAGAGACCTGGGTTATATTCCCAGCCTTGCAACTGGCTGGCTGCATAAACCTAAGCAACCCCCTCCCTTTTTCTGTGCCTTAGTTTTCCAACTGTAAAATGGGATAATGATGATACATACTTCCTTTTTAAAGCACTGCACTCTATGGAAGAAAAATCCTATGTAGGAGCTGGATATAATTAAAGCTTACAAGCTCAGATTCTTTTCTGTGTTAAGGCTTCTGTGCTCTCTATCATATTTTCAAGTAATCTTTGAACATGGTATAGCAGTCAAGGGAAATAGAGGTGCTGTAGAGATGATGTCACAATTTACAAGAGTATGCTCCCTGCAGCCACAGATGTAATGTGGCAAAAGAAATGAAGCAGAGTCACGGTTTCTTTGATTCTAGCAATCCCTGATTGTGACACCAGCCCCTAGAGACTGTGGCAGTTGGTGTAATTTGCAGCATACTTCAGACTACTCTAAACCTAGCTGAAGAACTTTTCCAGTGTGCCTTGCTGCCAAGACTGAGGGAGTTGTGTACTGTGCTTAAGCACTCCTCAGCCCCCTCCTGGCATGTGGGCTATATTATGCATTATGAAATGATAGACTTAGATTTACACTTCCAATTCCACTTGTAGAAATTGGCAAAGTTGGGTAGAAATAATTAAGCAAGAAAATTCCACCATGCATAATTTATTTATAAATACACAGCCATTTTGTCCATCACTAAGCCTTACTGATTAAACTGATCACTGGTTTCCCTTAAGCTGGTTTCTCTTCAAAATTTGGCTTTCTGTTTCTAATATTTTTCCTTTTTCACTTCCCAAGTTTTCTTGCAAAGTTGCCTGTATTGGAACAGTGAATAAAACTGACTGTGTTTATTCTGGTGAGATGAATACCCAAGGATGGTTTTCATGCAAAGGAATCATAAACAAGTTACAGGGCTCCTTAAATTCAGATTCCTTTACCTTAATTTCAGTAGTTTAGATCCCTGTTGTACCATCTTATGGGACATAAATCCAGGTGCATGCATGGGAACATGGCCAATGCTATTTTTTTCAGCAGGGCTCCAACAGCCTCTATCTTTCACTGTAACCACTTGGACAGCAACTATACCTATTCTACCAGCAGTGCTAGTGTCAGGTTCTAAACTGTTATACTCATCTTCAAATGGCCAGAGTAACTACATAGAAAAATTCCACCTAATGCCATGCCTTGCATAGTGAAGAACCAGAGAGGTGGCTAGATATATTACTATAAAACAAATAATAATCAGTAAGAAGCCTCCCCCCACTATTTTGCAGGCATCATTTTTGTCAGCTTCAAGAAGTGTTTAAATAGGAAGCAGCATTTAGATCCCCTCAGAAAAGTGTTTGAGGATCTTTCTTCACGTGAAGGAAGCACTTAGTTAAACATCCTAAAGGCTGTAAGCACCCCACACTTGTAGGATCTTACCCTTACTTGCTAAATGTTTCACCTATAAATCACTTGCTGAGTTAATCACAGTAGCTAAAACTTACTGCAGGTGAGAAAAATGGATTTCTGATTAAGTATTTATAATTAAGTATATGACAAACCTAATTGCTTTCTTTCTAGGATGCAAGGAATAGGCATTTATATGCTTAGATTAATTTTATGCTATCTTCTAGTAGTATAGGTTCATCATTACCACTTTGAAGAGAACCTCTAAGTACATAATTATACACAGTTAGTCAAAATCAAATTACATATTATCTAATGTAAATAATATTCTAGCTCAGGTAGCTCAGTCAAGGTTAAAATACAGAGATCCAATAGCAGATGGCTGTTAAAGAAAAGCCATTTCAGAATCCCCTTCCTACTATTAATTCAAACAATTGGGGAGGGCAAAATATATATGGTAAGAGGTTAATTTTTCTGTTCTTCCTTTAACAGGATTGGGAATTTCCACATTTTATGGGTGATGTTGATGTAAATCTTCCTGGCTTGCCCTCTGCACATATGCAGTTTAAAGTACCTTACTTCCAAAAGATTTTCAAGGAAGAATACCATATACATATAACAGGTAAGTAGCCTGATGTATTGCAATCCCAATCATACATTGAAGTCTTTAACTACTGATGTGAATCAGTTTTAGTGTGTGAAATTCTGTTTTTGACAGTGTCACCTTTATCTACATTATGATTTTTATTCAAAATAGCCCATCAATGAAGCAATGAATCCAAGCAGCCTGCACTTCCTCATGTAGTTCAGCAATTCCTTGTGCCATTCAATGATGCCTATAACTGTAGCAGAGATCACCTTTATTTAAAATGATTCTCCTGGGGAATTAACAGCTCATTTCCTTTTCAGATCTGTTCTGCCTCCAGATAGTTTCACTATAATTTATGTTAATGTCCTTTCATGAAGCAAGCCATTCTCATCCAGGAAAGGTTGGGTAGAACCATGCTTACAGCAGTCCTCTCACCAGAAACAAACAGCTGAATACACATTGTGGGCACATCTATGCAGGGCATATACTGCCGTTGCCTAATTAGCTCTGCAGTAATGTCACTGTAGGTTAGTACTTGTAAACACAAGTCCTGTGCTGCTGCGACATTATTTAGTGTGCCACAACACATTTGTAGACACTGACAGGGCTGGCAGGGGCAGAAGGGTGCTTCAATGTGGGGGCTACCTGCTGGCTAGCCCTGCACTGGAGTACTCTCGGCCCCAGCCAGCTCCTGTGCGGCACATTGAGCCAGATCAGAGCAGCCCTGGGCTGACAGGCTGACCCTCAGGGCCCCCTGCTGCCAGGGGCTGCTCTGACTTGGCTCAACATACTATGGTCCCAGGCACACCTATAAACATAGTTCCCAGGAGCAATAAACTCTGACACAAACTGTGCCAGAGTTTATTGCATCACAGTAATTGCACATGTAGATGCGCCCATTGTGTAGTTATTCCAAAATATGACAAATTAGAAACAAAGAGCCTGATTCTTATGTATGACTAAACAGTTTGAGAGGATGAAAGGTGGGGTATGAAGCCAGGTATGCCTCCCTCCATTAGAGCATGTGTATGCATGTATGTGTGTATTAGAAAGGAATTTAAAATGAATGGAGTATCTCCCTAGAAGTGAATTCCATGTGTAGGGATCACCACAAGACAAGGTAGAAATAGAGAAGTCAAAGTATTTTGACAGAGTATGTAGCAAGCTCCTTCAGCACTCAGTGTGGGGGCGGGGGTTAGGGAGTGGGGGAAAATGCCAACCACTGTAGACCAGTGAGAGGAAGACAAGTCTTACCTCACCTGGCTCTCTCCACAGTCTAGGCAGCTACTACTGCTACCACTGCTCTTCCTGTAGTAATGTCAGCTCAGGTAGCAGCAGCCGCATGACACAGACTCCCTGGGAACCACCCCTGGTGCCCCATTTGCTCCTTTTCCCCATCCAGATATGCTACTGGGCACAGGGCTGTGCCTGCTGTGGCAAAGATACCCCAGGGATGGGGAGGAGTGGAGAACGCTATGCTGCTTGCCCCACTCGCTCCCTGCAGCTGCTCAACTCCTATGGCTGGGCAACACAGGGGAGAGACATTCTGGTGCTCCCTTATAGTTTGCACCTGGGGCTGGTGCTGCGCTTGCTCTCCCCCCAGTTGCACTATTCACATCAAGTTGATTCATGATGGCATAGTGAAGGAGCCACATAGTGAAATGAGATTTACATGAGGCCCATGGTAGAGTTTGATAGAGCCTTAGACATGAGGATGAGTAATTAAAAGCTAGTATAATAGGTCAAAGAAAGCCAATGGAATGACTCAGATAGAGGAGTGAGTTTGACACGAAGGAATTTAAGTTGCTACATTTCCAATGGATTGGAGGAGAATGCTAAAATGATTAGGGTAGGTGGATAGTCAAGATCAGAAATAAGAAGGGGGCGGACAAGGATTTGAGCCATCAGGATGGAAGAGCAGCACTGCTGTTGTTTAAATGTCATAGGGAAAGGAGTGGTAAATGTTGGTGATAGCCTGGAAGTCTGAAGGAAAAGGACAGGGGTGCTTCTATGTTGACAGTGGGATTTTGAGTCAGATAGATAGGGAAGATGACGAAAGATAAAAGGAGAGAGTTGAAGAAAAATACTCTCATTTTTAGCCTGGACTTAAAATAAACCAGGGTAGTATTTTACAGAAATAAGATATAAGTGAAGGGGCCTGTGGCAGAGCCACATGGGACTTCAGCAGAGAACAGGCATATGAAGGAAGATGTTGAAGACAAAGTCAAAGAGCCAGTAGCTAAACTGTGAGGTGACATGGCCTCAGAAACAAAGGGAATAAAAAGACCAAGGAGAGAGTGATGAGTGGTTCTGAATTTGAGGAGGATGAAATGGTAAATCTAGAATGTAGCCAGGCTTTTTAGACGGGAAGAGGGAAACCTGACTGGGGCACATTTCAAAAGTGAGTAGATGAAAAGAAAACAGTGCAACTACTGCATATTGCTCATAGAGAAGGCAAAGGCAGATGGGCTTATGTAGGAGAGGCAGGTGGGAAAATGGAAAGTTACGTTACACATGATTTGTCTGAACACTGAATGGAAAAAGACATAAAAGAATAAGGGCAAGTGGGTGGATTTGAGCAAGACAATGGAGGCCAGTAACAAAGACAAATGATTAACCAGGACAGGAGGAGGGATGGGAATTTAAGGGCATGTGAATACTTCACAGCCAATGGCTAGGGTAAGGAAGATAATATAGAGCCAGACTAATGCAAGGAAGAAAGAAGGGAGTAAAGAGAGAGAGGAGATGGGACTTGCACATGAAGGGAGTACATAAATCCTTTGAAGTCAGTGACATTTTGGTCAGAGGGGGAAAGAGGATGAAGAGTTTAAAGTACCAAATGTATATATGACATTAGCTGTAGGCGCACGATCCAATTACAGTAGAAAAGTAAGAACATAAGAAGTGCCATATTGGGTCAGACCAATGGCCCATGTAGCTGAGTATTCTGTGTCTGACAGTGGCAGGGCTGGATACTTTAGAGGGAGAGCATTGAACTGGAACTGTCTAGAGATCTATCCTCTATTCATTATCTTCCCTACCATCCACTATTATTGGTTTAGAGATGCCAGAGGAAAGATCCCCAACCCTTCTGTCCAACAGCTATTAGCAGATTATCACCTATGAATTTGTTGCCATTTGGGGTCAGGCCAATGCTCAGGATCTCAATATTGCTCTGTTAGACAGGAGGGCATGGTGTACAATTGAACATGCACACATATCACCAATCCAAGCACATACACACCTTAATGATAATGACCTGAAATCATACACAATACACACATACATACACATATAGACACAGATTAAACACTGACTCGGGTGACAGTGTGTGTGTGTATGTGTGTTGCTGCCTGTAGTACCTGTGCTTGGGGTGCTTGGTAACCAAAGAGCAAGTGGCAGAGATCAGGGGAAAAGGCAGAGGAGACAAGGCAATAGCAGTGGCAGAGATCAGGTGGAAAGGCAGTGGGGGCAATAGCAAAGAAACAGCGGTTTGCAGGCAGAGAGGAGCTCAGGATGGCTGAAGCCACAGGAGCATGGGAAAGGTGTTGGAGGTGGTGGTGAGCCGGAAGCAGGAGAGGGAGAAATAAGACAGAAGTTAGAGGGACGAGGAGCAGAGATTGGAGTAGGGCCAAACCATAGTAAAGCAAAACCCAACTTAGGGGTCCAAATAACAGTTTTATTAAATGAGCACTGTACTGTACAGCTTGGTTCCCACACACACTCACACAAGCACTCCCACACACACTCACACAATGGTAGCAGGAGAAAGAGACTCAGTGGAAGGGTTGGAGTCCAGGTAGGGAAGAGAAAGAGTCCAAGTCCTTGGTTGAAGAGAGGATGGGGGTGATAGCTACCTATCCAGGCTGGGAGGGGGTCCTGGATGGCCAGTTGGGGTCTTTCTCCAGCAGGTGTTGTCCAGAGGGGGTCACTGGCTGGGCCTCTGGGTGGATAGGCAGTGTGACGTGGAGCAGGTCTGGTTCAGGTGAAGATGGCGTCCCAAGGAGTTAGTCTTCACTACCTGTTTTTATGGGGCAGACTACCTATGATCTCCTATGGGGAGGGCCTGTCCAGGCAAGGTCAGTCCTGTTCCAGAGGGTTCCAGATGTTCACACTGAGCATGTGCAGCCTTGGCACAATGGTGGTTGCCTCATCTTTTGTTTCTTGAATGCGGAGGGTGGTTCCAATGTCTGGGTCATTGGTCCAGGTATAGGTTTGGATGGTGGGGTGATTTAGTAGGGGGTCCTGCTATCATTGTGTTTCACTCATCCATTCACTCTTTTGCTTTAGGCATTCAAGGAAAACCAATTTACATGGGAGAGGTTACAGATTTAAACATGAGTCATAATTGCAACATACTTACACAACAGGGCATGGGGACAAGATGGGAACAAGATGGGAAACTGACACACAAAATGGATACTTGACATCACTCATGCCAAAACACATTGCAGGCCTAAATCATACAATGTTAATATAAAGCAATAAAAATCAATGCACAGATGATAGGAATACAATATAATACAATATAAAACAGTAAAAATCAATACAAACATAACAGAACACTATTTACAATATAAAAAGGGGCTTATTACAATAATAGCATACAAGCACTTAGCTTACCTAGTACTACTTGTAATCACTTATAAGGGATAGAGAGGGAAGAGAGAAAGTCAGAAATGGTTAGGGGAAGGGGAGGGAATGTATTTCAAAAGAAAAAAAGGAAAAACTGGGGGTTTTGCTACAAATTTATCTAGTCCCGTTTTGAACCTGGCTACGCTGTCTGCCTCTACCATCTCCTGTGCCAATGAATTCTACAGGTGAACTACGCATTGCCAAAAAAGAGTACTTCCTCTTGTTAAACCTGTCTCCTATTAATTTCAGTGAGTGCCCCCTAGTTCTAGTATTCTGGGACTGGGTTCCCTGTTTACTTGGTCCATACCCTTCATTACTTTATAGACCTCTATCATATCCCCCCTCAGCCTTCTCCTTTCCAAAATGAGGGGTCCTAGCCATTTTAGTCTCTCCTGGTA